TGAAGTCAAATGCATCACTCATATTTAAAACATTGTCTGAACATTTATAAACTGAGCAAACCTATCATAGCCATATACAACTCAGTCTTCTGTACTCAAGGCCTTCTTGCCATAAATAAATCAGAAGGTTTTTGCAAGACTGTTTATACTGCTGTGCCAAGTGCACCTTCTTATTTCACTGTGTAGGTTCATTTAACAGATAAAACTATTCAAACATATTCAGAAATTATAAACCAGACTATACATGAAATCATGATTACTTTTTTTTTTTAATTTTTTATGTAGCACTGCTGTAGCAGTTAAAACCATTAGTATTTCATCAGGAGGAGCTGAATATCAGCATCATAATTGTTATCTGATGAATTGGGCATGGGAATCTTTTGGAGACTCCCATAAGGTAAGGCTTGAACAGGAAAAGGCTTAGGGAGATAAAAAATTGGAGAATTAAGGCAAGAGATTGGTAGGTTTTCAATCACTAACAGATTCAAACAGGAAGGCTTGAGGGTGAGATGAGAAGGGAGTGGTAATGGCTGGAGGGGTTGGTTCTTAGGTGAGATGTGTTTGACTGGTGATTAAGAGGGCAAGTTCTGAAGTTAAGAGGTCTGAATAGGTTGGAAGGTCTCTAACACATGAGAAGCTCTAGGTCAGAAAGGTTTCAGCACAAGACACATCTAGAACCATAAATACAGGTTCTGGTTTGAGTTGGAGACGTGTATTATGAAGTTGCAAATTTTTAGTATATTTCAGAACTGATTTCTAAAACATGATGAACAATTATAATAAAGTAAAAATAATAAAACATACCTGAAAAGAGAAAGTAAAAAAGTAAAGTATCCCAAGTACTAAAAACAGCAGTGAATATAAGTTGCTCTGTTGTCTTAAAACGTCCTTGTCCGTTTCTGAAAAAACCTATAAAAACAATATTTAAAACAACATTTTTTAAAATCAACTAACAATCTAAAATACTCTCATTTTTGCAATAACTAAGTCTGGTAGTCATTTGCATTCCTACAAAATTTGAGCATATGTTACATATGATTACAAGTATAGCAAGCAAAATTCAGGTCATAGCAAGATTTTTAGGATTTTGTAAATTACATATAATTTTTCAGATATTTGCAATAGTGCTTCATCCACTCCTCAACTTCATTATGCAGTGATTGCTTTAAACCTAATTTTATTAGAAACAAATTTTGTGTAAATATAGTTTTTTGCATCTTTTACTCCAACTTACCCCTATAATTTCAGAAAATATGATCGCAAATCCAGGTTGTAAAGCTCCATTGATAACTGCACATAAGGTTCCAGCTACAAAGTATGGCCATTCAGTTTTGTTCAACTTCATAATTTTCATAAATGAAGCTGGAGGTAATTCTTCCTCCTAAAAAATGGAAATTCTGTTAGGACAAGCATGAAGGTATTTGGAGAAATAGGGAGAAAAAGAGAGATTAATAGTCAATTTCCTGCTCTCAGAATCTACTCAGAGGAAGTAAAAATGTATACTTTTTAATAACATGAATAAATGTACAAAACTGTAAAAAGCTGATTGTACATTTCTTTTTATTATTCTAATACAAGGAAGAAAGAGCTGTTACGCTGCATCTACAGCTCTTGTCATTGTATATTAGTTTATCTATATAATTTTTGTTGGTGAATACTCTTGGTATTGGTCCATGGTGACTGAACTATTAATTCTGGGCATATTGCTGTGTGTAATCCATGACTAGATTAATTGAAGTAATTGTTTACTAAGCATTTATAACAGCAAAATAATCACTGTAAATATGAATGCAATCATATTTGGGGGGTTTTTTTGCAAGTTTTATTGTAAGAGTTGTATGTTGGGCCAAATGCTCTGTTTCTGACCCAAAAATGAATATTTAACCCGTATAGACTATGTCAGTATGTTATGCAAATATACATAAGTATATTTCTTTTAAACTTAATTGATTTTCAATAATAAACCCATCAACCTTGTTATAGACTTTTAAAGTCCCATTTTATTTGTATTATAATTCATGTTGAGAATAAAAAAACAAGCTATGAATATTAACAGTTGAAGGCTATTTAGAACTTAAAAATTCTCATGGTTTTTTCACCCCTATCAAATGCCTCCTTCTTGTATCTTTCTTGAGCAGGAGAATGAATTTAACATACATTTTTCAAAGGAGTCAAATTCACTAACATCTCTGCAAAGGTACTTACAGGTGAACTTTTTTTCTCATCAGGACCATCATCTTGCTCTCCTGGCTTTTTCATGCTTCTCCGAGTTGATCGTCTTCTCAATCCTCTTGTTAGGGATTCTTCAGATTCTGGTTCAGATTCACGGTTTTGGACACTAAGTGCATTCTCATCTTTTTCTGACGAGGGAACTTCACCTTCTATTGCCTAAAAGTGGGAAGAATGTGATGCTAAGATTAATTATGCATATATTACTTTCAAAATTATAAGGTAATCAAAGTAAAAGTGACTTTGTTTCAGTTGAAAGAGATGGGGGGAAACAACATATAATGCTTTAAAGGAGATATGAAAATCTGTATTATATTTTAGTAGATCTCTGTCTTCAGAGCTTTATTCATATGAATATCGCACCTCTCAAGAAAATACTTAGACTAAGGGGACGGCAGGGGAGTGAAAGTGGCTGCTGGTTTTTTTTATGAATTAACTACGAACGGAATTTTAAATTGAGGGTAAACCATTTGCACTCATCTTGGGTTCCCAGGGTATACACTGTTTAGTCACGAAGAGATAAAAAATTAACCCTCTTTACAACAGAACACTCTTAGCAATTCTTGACTTTAAATGGAATATGGAAGTTCAGGATGAAACAGGTCAAAAAGAGATTTTGACTGAAAAACTTGAGCAATCTGGAGAAGAGCCCTACTTTTGGTGGTAGTTTTGCCAGTCTCTTTAACAGAACAAATAAATCTCTACCCACCCCTAAGGTATTTAATAGTAACTGGAGTCAAAGTTGCCTTCAACTTGTGTTTATTTTTTTCCAGAAAGTTTTTATTTCTTCCTGCTTTTTGCACTACTAATAAAAATAACTTTTTTCTTGCTTTTCATTTTTTGTTTATTTTCTTTTTTTTGGTTTTTAAATTTTCTTTCCATTTTATATTTCCTCATTTTTCCCATAATCACATTTGCTTGGATACAAAGTTGCTTTGAATCTAAGGTAACCAAATGCATTCTTATATTTTATGAAGAAATATTTTAATTGGTCTGGTTTACTCTTTTCCATCTGACATATTGAGGAGGCAAGTTCAGTTTCCTTATTGGACATGGTGGTTATGCAGTAAAACAAAGTGAAGCTCTGCTATAACCTAATGGTCACATGGGACATTGGGATGTAAATATCAAAGTAGTTTGGTCTTCACTTAATAATTAATACATTTCTGATATTTATAAGAATTTCTAATCTCTTTTTTCTGTCTACATAACTTCAAAACATATTTGCACACTTGGCATAGCTGGATTATTTTTCTTTTTCCTCTATTCCTCCACATTTTTTTTCTTTAGAAAGAAATTCAATATGAAGGAATATAAACAAACAGCTTAAAATATGCCTGCTCTATTCCTTGAGTATCAGCTACTGTATTTTACCTTCTATCATAGGCTAAGAACAAGAAATGGAATAGCAACCTCCTGTAGTCATCTGCTCTACATTATCTGCATAAAAGGAAAACATAAAATAATCTTTCAGGTTTAAATACCTAGAGGATTAAAAATGTACTATCCTGGGTTTAAATAGGTATTGTATCAAGACTAGTGGTCTCCTCTCTCAAATTACTGTTCTCCTTTCAAAGCACTTTTTTTTTTTTTTGCTGCTAACAAATTCTGCAGAATTCCTCATACTTCTGATAGCATACAATGACTGTGGGTGAGGAAAACAAAAACCAAAATGAGGCAACAGCTAGCGAGAAAAGTACCTGCATGTTAACAAGTTTGTAGTAGATTCCCTTCCTCTCAAGCAGTTTAACATGATTTCCTTGCTCTGCGACAACTCCACCTTCAAACACAGCTATATGATCTGCATTTCGGACTGTTGACAGCCGATGAGCCACTACAACCGTGGTGCGTCCTTCCCTTGCCTAGAAACAGCAAAGTTTAATATGAGTGTTTCTAAGTAAATTCAAAAAGTGTTCCTCTGCATACTAGAGTTGAATAAGACCTAAAGGAAACACTAAAAGGGTTCACAGAAAAATATAACTTGTCAAAAAGATTTCAAAGCATATTTCAATGAGTACCTTAAAACAGAAATATAATCTCTACCCTGAAAATGAAGAAGAGACAATCTTTCACCGTGGCACACGTACATCCTACAGTTTTGATCACAAATATCTAAACAAAATTCTCAAGATTTAAAATTTTAGAATGTTACAAACCTTAAAATTTTAAAATTGCTAGAAGTTTTTATATTTAAGCCCATAGTTCTCAATTTAAACCTTAAAATTCATGGAAAATAGTTTATATGCAGAAGCATTAGAGAATACTTCACACTCATTTTAAAAAATTCAGTGTTTTAAGCTCTAAGCCATTGTTAACTCAAGTAGTTACAGTGAAAATAAAACCTCTTACTATTTCATGTAAAATTAGTTCAACTATCTACCTATCTCTGGATATTTATAAACGTATTACACCTAATGTTTCAAATGTCAGAGCTTGCCATTTTAATTATGAGGTTGTATGAAAGTGATCAAGCAAATTTTAGCTTAACTAATCAAAGTAATGATCCCAAGCAGTGGAATTTTGTTGGAAAACAGATGGAGTTCATCCTCAGTTACGTCTCTCAAGAGTCCGTACTGGGACCAATACTATTTAATATCTTCCTCATTGGCATAGATAAATGGGATTGAGTGCACACTCAGTAAATTTACAAATGATATCAAGCTGAGAGGTGCACCTTATTCATGTGAGGGAGGGGATAGAATTCAGGTCTCCAGCAGGCTTGAGGAGTGAAGCCACGTGAACCCCATGAAGTTCAACAAGGCCAGGTGAAAGGCCCTGCACCTGGGTCAAGGCAGTCCTTAACATCAATACAGATGGATTGAGAGCAGCTCTGCAGAGAAAGGCTTTGGAATAGTGGTGGATGAAAAACTGGACACGAGCTGACAATGTGTGCTTGAAGTCCAGAAAGCCAACTGTAACTTGGGCTGCATCTAAAGAGGCGTGGCCAGCAGATTGAGGGAGGAGATTCTCCCTCTTTACTCTCCTCTGTTGAGATCCCACCTGGAGTACTGTGAGTTCTGAGGAAGACCACAAAAACCACCAGAGAGATAACAGACCTCTCCTATGCAGACAGGCTAAGAGAGCTGGGGTTCAGCCTGGAGAAAAGAAGGCTCCAGGGAGACGTCATTGAAGCCTTTCAGTACATAAAGAGTGACCACCATTATGACCACCAGGTGAGAGATTTTTACCAGGGCCTGTAGTAACAGGACAAAGGACAATGGTTTTAAACTGAAAGGGGGTAGATTTAGATGAGATATAAGGAAAAAAATTTTTAGGATGAGGGTGGTGAGACACTGGAACAGGTTGCCCAGCGTCGTGGATGCCCCACCCCTGGAAGTGTTCAAGACTAGCTTGGATGGGGCTCTGAGCAACCTGATCTAGTGAACCGTGTCCCTGTTCCATGTGGAGACTAGATAATCCTTAAAGGTCCCTTCCAACCCAATCCGCTCTATGATTCTCTGAGTCCCTAGGTCTTCTGCAAAGGTTCACAAGGATACAAATTTGTAAGGTAAATATAGATACTCCTGAGTTGCACGATGGATGAGCTGTCCGTTATCAAGACAGTTCTACACTAAGAACAAAAGAAGCACCTAGAAGAATTCATGTTAACTGAAGCAAGTGTTTCCTTGGAGTATTTCATGCCAAGTCACTGCTACAAACAATTATGACATGCTGGTAATGCTTATTTTGTCTGTTACGCTTCATAAGTTAATTAGGCAGGTGACTGACAATAATACACATGTCAGTAAGACAGATATTAGCAGAGGATGGTACTTACACCAAGAAAATGTTGATTTAAGCTTAATAATGCAGAAAATATGATTCCATCTTCTCACTTGAAATAAGATTCCTCTCTGTAATACTTGCAGGATCTCAAAAATTCTCCTGACAAAGAATATTTGCCAAATCAAAGTTTACCTTTTTTGTTTTATGCGTCTCTATTTTCAACAAAAGTCAGGGAAAAAAAGTAAATATTAGGCTCCTGCTTACCTGCTTCATTTTAAAACACTACTGACCTTGTCCAGTGCTGCCTGCACAACTGATTCACTCTCAGTATCCAAAGCCGATGTTGCCTCATCAAGCAGAAGAATTTTAGGATTGCGAACCAGAGCTCGGGCAATTGCTATTCTTTGTTTCTGGCCTCCACTCAGCTGTGCCCCTCTTTCTCCAACCACGGTTTCAAACTTCTACAAGACAACCACACGCATTCAAAACACTCAGTGGCACAGTACTCCCAGCAAAGACAGGCAGTGTGAAGAAAAGAATCACCAGTGTCAGTAACCCCAGTGGCGTCTCCTCCTTCCTTTACAGGAATAAACACGTACTTGGATAAACCTGCCTAATCATTTGTGCTCCCGGAATTCTAATAGTTCTTCAAATACCTGCCAAATCACAACCTGAAGATATAAAATTAACATCCTTCTCAAAAGTTACGAGAACCTCTGCATAGCTTTGCATATTCACAGCTCCAAGGATAGCTTCCTCTCTTAACAAGCACTCCTCCTAAGGAACTATTTGGCACAAGAGGGTTTAGAAGAAATTGTTTCAGCAGGAGAACTGGTCTGCTTACCTTGGGCAGCTTCATGATGAAGTCATAAGCATTGGCTTCCTTGGTAGCTTTTTCAATCTCTTCCATGGTGACGTCCTCACGGCCATAACGAATATTTTCTGCAATAGTGGTAGCAAAGAGCACGGGCTCCTGATTCACCACACCGATAATCTCCCGCAGATATCTTACATTCAAGGTCTTAATATCCTGCCCATCAATGGTAACCTAATCATAAGGAAGCAGACAAAAATTGTGTACTGAGTGTTTTGACCAAGGAACCTCTCTTTCCATGCTGGCACATGCCTTTCTAGGCAAGACTTCACCATATCATTGGAACAAGGTGAGTGAGGCCAGAACTAGGCTTTCAGCAAGTGTGACATACAGAGCAGTCATCTCACTTGAGCCATCTTACCGTGCCTTCCTTGGGATCATAAAATCTCTGGATGAGCTGAACAGTTGTACTTTTCCCACAGCCACTGCTGCCAACCAGGGCCACTGTCTGGCCAGAACTAATCTTGAGATTCAAGCCCTTCAGTATCTGTGCATATAGGAAAGGTAATCAAAAACATAATAGTATGTAGAAATATCAGTCTAAATTTGATGAAAGATAAAGACTACAATAAAATACCCTTTGTATTTGTAGCAGAATCTGGTACAAAATAAAATTTATAAACATGTGGGTTTAAATTTTGGGTAACATGATTTCAGCTTAATTTTCTTACATTTACATCACAATTGGTCCAACATCAAGGTGTTATACAACACACTTCACAATTACCTCTCTCATGAACCAGTTCATATGACAAAATAATAATAATATTACTACCAAAACTGACATATAGTACAGAAACAATATGATGCAATATTCCTGTATTATGTTGCCTCTCATTTTTTTAATGCACCACGCAAACTACAGGGAAGCTATGTAAGTCATGGTTAAAAGCTCTGTGTCTTTTCTTCCTGCCTATCAAAAGTAAAATAAAGTAAGATAAAACTGGCGTTTTATCATGGCCAGTAATTTTCCTTCAAGGTAAGGAAGGAAATAATTACATAGTGCAAAGACACTGTCCGTGAAAATATTTTCAGAAATTATTCAAATGTCTTCCATCTCCACTGAATCGAGACTATGGATTTATGACAGTGCTTCAAAAAGCAAACTTATTCTCTGTCTAGACAGACAAATACAGATTCTGATCTCTATTCCATGTATAGCAAGTCCTTGCTGGATCTGCTTTCTTTAACTGTTTCACATACAGTCATCAGAGAGCTGCATTGCAAGTATGCTGAAACCCACGATCTCATTATTATTGCAATACACAAACAGTTGGGTTAGGGTGTAAGTTTAGGTTCTGACAGAAATACACATTTATGGTTTTTTGCATAGCCACACTTACTATAACTTTAGACAGAAAGTTACTCAGAAAACTTAACATGTTTGGCTAAGGTGTAAATAGATCTAGCTAAAATCACTGTGATGGCAAGGTAGTTTTATACACATTAGAGAATCAACTTGGAATTGTTATATTTTCAACAAAATTTAATTTATGTCACTTCTTAATGATTTTTTTACCCAACAAATCATCTATATGTTTAACTCTAACATATATAAAGTTTCATTTACAGTACCTCAACATCTGGTCTGGATGGATAATTGAAGTAAACATTTTTGAATTCCAAGTTTCCTTTAATGTAGTCCGGTTTGTAACCCACCTCTGAGTAGCTGTCAATTTGAGGTTCCTGTGCAAAGTAAAATACAAAACCCCCCCATTTTTTTTCATTAAGAAGTCCTGGAGTGCACCATTATTCTTCAGAGACATTAAATGTGGGCTTTAAGTAATTTTATTGAGATTTCTGAAAGAAAAAAATTGCATGATGTTTTGCTCCCTCGTTGCTGCATTGATGATGGGCTTATGTAAGAATACTTCTATAATTTTTCCATTAAGCTTTTGTGTGAATTTAGCAAATGTCCTTAAGACTGTCCCCATAGCTAGCCATAATCTGAGATTCATTTCACTGCCTGATGATTAACCTGAGTACATCATCTCTAATGAGCTCTTCCTACACTGTTCATTTATAGCTTTGGCCTTTCTGCTGAAACAATTTGTCTGAGAAACAATTGATCTGCTGAGCATTACTCAGAAGCAGATTTCTTAATTATCACTGGGTTTGTTTCCATCCAGAGTGGGTCTAGAACTTGAAGTATACCTTAACAATAATCCAAAACATGCAATTGCATTTCATAGAGCTTGATTAGCTAGCAAAATCACAGCTTCCCTGATTTTAGAATCTCTTGGCAGTTGAGGTACATATCCAGTTTACCAGGTTGTGTTTTATTGATTTGCTGGCACTCACACTACCCTTGGTGTCACTGATACCATGAAACCCATGCTCATATACCTACATTGTCTATAATCATGTGATTACAGCACCACAGAAATGTCCTTCATGATAAAAACATTAGAGGATACCCTTTGAAACCAAGTGGTTCAGGAATCCAGTACTTCTACCTTTGAAGCAAGGACTGATAATTCTAAAAGACAAAGAGGAACTGACTAATAATTACACATTCTATCTGTTTTTATCTTTATATTTCTGCTTATTTTACACAGTTATTTAATCTTATTAATTTCATTTCCATAAATAGTGCCTGTCTTTAAAAAGAAGGGTCTCTTCTCTTCAAAAGAAGTTTTGAAAGATAACAAGGGCAAGGATACTCACATTGTCTATTATATTAAAGATCACATAGGCAGCTCCTCTTGCACTAGCAAATGCCTCTATGCTTGGAGCAGTGTGTCCAATACTGAAAGCTCCCATCAATACAGAGAAAAAGACCTGGAAGAAATATTTACAGTGACATATATTAATTCTTATTAACCAGAGAATTACCGTTATTTATTTACTTTAAATATCTTTGCATCAGGAGGCTCCATGCCTGTTAACAGAAGTTTAAGGAATCTAGAATTACAGAAAAACTGAAAACAGAGAATAACATTAAGAAAAGGGCTTTTTAAGAGTCAGCTGAGAACTGAGCTCATGCACAATGTTAATGCTGCAAACATATTAAGAAGAAGTGAAAAGGTGATTGAGACTTGTAAAATCTCTGCCAAAAAAATGTAGACTTTCACTTGATGTCTTGGGATTTTATTGTATTCATTCATTCTTAGGCCAAAGACATTCCAAAGACCGGAAAGTATATTACATATCTTCCAGTGAAACAAAGACAGATATGCAAAGCACTATCACTCTGCTTTCAAAGTTACAGTGACATAGAGGGATACAAATCCAGCTTCTCCATCACAAAGTAAAGGATCCCTCTGTTTCAATGAGAGTGAGTGCAAGCAAACAAGAAAGAGAAAAAGAACAAATAAACTGTTTTCTCAGAGTATCATCGTTTATTGCTTTCAGCTAGTATAAAAAAAAAAAAGGCAATTAAATGATGCTGCTCAGAGCTCCTAACAGCCACAGTAAGTCAGAGCAAAGTCCATGACATTCATTGTCTTGAATAGGGGCTATTCACAGATTTGACACGTGATAAGGCCACACTCTCCCATCCCTGTTATAAAACCACCATTCAATCAACTACAACATAGACAACTGAAATGCAAAGACTTTGAACAGAATAAATTACACACAAGGTCATGGACCTCATTGAGTGTTCTATATGCCAACCTGCATAAAAGGTTCCAAAAAGCCAAAAACACATATCAGAGACATTTTTCATGAACTTCGGTGATTCATAAAAAAACCAAAACAGATAGATTAAAAAATAAATAAATATATGCATATGGTCACCTGTCTGGGCTTTTATTATGGTTAACAAAGTTATTCTTCTTACCGTATTTATTTGATATCTCATACAAAATTAGAATGGTTGCCACATCAAGAGAAGAATTTAAGTTATGACTTCTGAGTAATGGGTTTTTTACATATTTCCTCGTCACAAGTATATTTTATCCCCCTCACTTACTAAAAATACTGAGAAGTGATTCCAAGCTCTCATAGTGCAAAACATAAAAAATTTATCTATTTAGACCACACAACAGTTAAAAAAAAGTATTTGTTTCTGCATGCTGAAAATATATTCAGCCCCATAAATCTGAAAGCAAATAGCAACTGGGAAGAGTATTGTACTTCAGTCTGATCTTATGAAAGTCAGAAAATACGTAAGAACAGTTGAAAATAATATATGTTTTATTTTAGGTTCATATAGATTTTGAGATGCTATGGAAACATGGAGACTTCTGTGGTGAGAATCTTTTTGTTCAGAAGAAATTCTACTTTGCCAATTTTGGCCCATAACTCTCATTAAAATCAAATAAGTTCTCATTATATAATTTAACGTGCTCTTCTCACTATTATTGAGAATTTACTCCTTAATACTTACCGTCAGAACTTTGCCAATAGTGTAATCATCAGTTAAGATCAAAGTAGTTCCATACCAAAAGGCCAGTGCATATGATGCATATACCAGTAAATAAGCAGCACCCATAGAAATATTAGCTATAATAGCCTTTCTTATTCCAATCCTTTTAGCATCTTCTAAATTTTTATGGTATCTGGAAGAGAGAAAGAAGTTCAAAATACACTTACACTTGTACCACGGCACACGGCACCAAAAACTGTGCGGATGAGTTAGGACAAGAATGCTCACAAAGTACATCAGGATATATAAAATATCTAACCCAAAGACTGTACAAAGGTAATCCTGGAACAAGGTAACCTAAGGTATCTCCTAAAAAGGCCAACATCAGTCAACCTGGTATGTAGAAATAAAAGGGCATTGCAGGTCAGGGATTGGCATTCAAGTTCCTTAAATAAACCAAAGGTCAGTGAATTTTGATAGTGAACCACTTAAGATAAAAGGTTAAAATATATCACAAGAATTACGTTTTACAGTAGCGGAAATAGAGATATTGTTTGTTAGCACCTTCACAGCTACTGAGTAATCAGAGTACCAAGGATATCGTTATCTCTTCTCGTGAGAGGGACCTTTTTTTGTCTAAAGCTCTCACTGTGTGATGTTTGAAGTAGTTTGTATACCCTCTAAAGCAGAGACAACATATCAAGTTATTTTGACTTTTCTAAAAAAAATAACTGTCTTTCAACGCAGTGAACCTTGTAATAGTCTCTAACAGACAATCTTCCATTACCTAAAAATGCAGAAAACAAGACTTTCAACACCAAAGATATTAGAAAACTTCAAACTATCTGAAACAAGTACTTTAAAATCCACTGATGAAAGCAAATATTACCTTTTAATTTCTTTTTCCTGTCCTCCAAAAGCTATTACAGTACGGATTGCTGCCAGAACTTCCTCTGCAACAGCACCTGCTTTTGCATATGCCGCTTGTTCTTTGTCAGTGAAAGCAGAGAGAACCTAACACAAGATCAAATATTTTGACATAGGAAAAATAGAATGAGCTCGAGCACTTCCTAATGACTTTTATCATAGTTACTTTCTTCCAACAGGAAGCCTTTTGATTATATTATGTAGGAGTGCAGAATGTCCAATATCCAAATCCTTAAGTATATTGTGAATTCAATCAAATAATTAAATGTTACCCTTTGTAAACAGCTAAGAGCTGGATTTTCCACTCTGCTTTCACCTGGTGCAGGAGATTAGATGACTACTCATAGTGAGCTGGTGTGGTTCTCCCCAGGCAGATCTTCTCAGCTCATTCTCATCTCTGGCTACATTAGCCAGAGGGCCTATAACTTACATTAGTTGGCCACAGTCTGTGAAGACTCAGCCAGCAGACATGCATGGCACATGCTTCTCTAACCTTTTCTGCAATATACTCACTCAAGATAGAGAAAGCTTTCATGACCTTTCAAATGTAGGGAAAATAAAATACTATAAAAATGTGAAGACTTTCAAACTACAAATGTAAGTCATTCTAATCCCATGGTAATTTGGTCCTTCTCTCATCTAAGGCTGTCTAAAATTTCTTGCCAAAGTTGTTAACAACTCTGAAAGAAACTCTTTGTCTGAGACCAAGTTTTTTTGAATTTATTCCCTTATTTTTCAGGAGGTGGAATTATTCCTTTCAGCAGAAGAAGTACTTATGTGGACACGGTTAAACAGTTACAAATGCGGATTCTTCTTCTCTGTATGGGCATATGCTATATTGGCAGAAACAGCTTCAAATGAAATAAGGCTGTGCAATCTATAAGAATGATATTATTGAAACTACACAGAATCATCCAATCATAGAATGATTTGGTTTGGAAGGGACCTTAAAGATCATCCAGTTCCAACTGCTCTGCCATGGGCAGGGACACCTTCCACTAGACCAGGTTGCTCAAAGCCCCATCCAACCTGGCCTTGAACATGAGGGTACTGATACACAGTTCGTCTAAGAGTTTATGTACTTAAGTGTTATCTAAAGCTTTAATTGGACTAAACAACAAGTTCTAACACTAAGAATTTCAGATATGTAGATTTATTTCATTATCTCTCATTAATATAAAACCTGACACTGAATGTATGTTAACCTACCTTTGCCCAGAGGGCTGCTGAAAGTCCCAGGACAGGACTAACTGCTAGTATTACAAGGGTTAATTTCCATCCTCTTATGAGACCAACAATAAATCCTGCTACAAAAGTCGTTAGTTGTTGAACGAGAAGTCCAACCTTGTCGCCTATTCCTTCATTAATCTTGGAGACATCACTGAAAAACAGATTAGATCCAGAAAGGAAGAAAAATGTAGAAAGGAAAACAAACATTTTCGGTTTTGTTACATGATCATCTGTGTGGAGGACAATCTTTACTATTTAATTGTTTCCAAACACTAGTTTTCTTCAAGGTAAAGCACTATATAGTGTGGTCAAGGAAAATTTCCTATTTTTTGTGAAATTGCAATGCTTATAAACCTGGTTTTCTCTGAAAAGGTTGAAATTCCCTCTACAGTGTAAAACTACTCTCACTCTCTTAATTCCAGATTTTTGATCAGTTTGGCACTTGTGGTCTATTTGGGAATCAAAGATAGGGAAAGAGAAAGGAAAATCTTGTTATACAGTTAAAGCTGGTCACAGTGCTGGGGTCAGCTGGCACCTTATTCAGTCCTCAGTGTGCACGGAAACAAACTATATTTTCTCTCCCAAGGGATAATCGCATAGGCTGGGTCTTAGTCATCCTCAGAGTTCAAGGAAACTTAACAAAAAGCTTTTCTGACATCTTTGTGACAGTCCAGTATCAGAAGTATTAGAAATTCAGTCTCTGAGACTCTCCATGAGAAAACTTGAAAACTTAATTTAACAATGAAAATAAAAACAAAAATTTTTAACTTCTACGTGCTTAATAAGGTAAAATAACATTGGGAAAGGTATAGTGTACTTACTCTAGAAGACGAGTGTTAAGTTCTCCCACATCATTTACATCAAACCATCCAATTTCCTGTCTCATAATTGCATGAAAAAATTTTTCTCTAATTTTTTTTATTTGCCGACCTGCTGTTAGTGTCCAGAATGCAGTTTGTAAATAAGCAGCAAGAAGAACACCAGCTGCTATTCCACAATAGTAGTATGCATATCTGAAAGAAAAAAAAAGGCAAAAAAGGCAAGACTCTCTTAAATTGATTTTAATTACCTCACCAGTCTGAATTTGGCAGGATGCTTTCTTCTTCTGCTTCAGACCTCTGTAAAACTTGGTAAGTTTTCTATGAATAGTATTTAATGTCAGGGTGTTTTTTTCCGCAATAACCAAAACAAAGATATAGTTAGACAGGAATTACCTTTCTTTTTTTTGGTCAATTTACATGTATTTTCTCATAAGATTATTTTAGAACTGTATTTCAGATACAATACCATTTTCACTTAACATGTGTCACTTCCAAAAACTCCCTAGCATTTTTAACACACATGGACAGACCTAATCATATATACCTGTATTATATGCACATTTACATCATACAATGTGCCTGTCTACATAAACAAAAATATGCATGGATGCTGGAAATGTTTCCTGATTGGAGAATACAGCATTACTATATGTACATCTGTTGCAAGCAAATGCCATTGGATCAAAAATTCTTTTGTTCTCTATTTTGTGCATAGCTCATATTTTAGTTTTAAATTAATTCAGCCCTGTGCAGGGTGTCAAATCCAAACTAGGTATGTGTGAACCACTATATTTCTCAAACTGGAACACAGCTTGAGTCACAACTTTAAAACATTCAAAAAGAATTAAATCAATTTTGATTTGATACACAATTGACATCAGAATCAGTTATAGGTGAACTTAAACCAGAATTAAACCAGAAAAATATATCTGAACTGACTCCATTTGTAAAGCATGACCAAAATCAAGGGTTAAATATTCAGGGTGTATATATCTGTAATTATAAGAATACTGCATCTATATAAAAGTAAATAATGAGCAAAAAGCTTTAGAACTCTTATGACTTTCACTCATGTGTACTAAGTTATGCATACTGATTCTGTAGAACTGTAACATGCTCCTTGGCAGGAGCAAACGGCAGGAATCTGTGTGCAAATGCTCTGCTCAAAAAAGGAGAGAATGGCTTTACAGATTAAAATTTTCAAATTTTAATCCAGTCTTTCTTGCAGCTATGATACCATACAGTTTAGTTAGGGACTTCGGAACTGTACTCATTGTGAAATGCATTTAATCGAAACGATTTAATAAAAGCAAGTTAATGCTTAACAGAATGCTGGTTAGTTGAATATTGACTTCGATCACATTCAGCTTCATTAGAACTCTACAAACTTAAAAAAACCTTCCCAAACTAACCCCAAGAGCACTGCATCCAAATTCAGCAGTAATTACTTTAGACAATTACTTTATGATGTTATATGACTTCAAAGAATTGATTTATGCTTAGACTTTGTTTCATGACAAATCGTATCAAAAGGGATTCATATCTTTGCCAGATTCCAGGCTGATGAAACATATTCTGCAAATTCACTGCTGAAACTAATCGGAGAGTGTTTATTGCATTTTAAAGTAATAGTTATTTTTCTTTTGAGAAATAGTAGGGGTTTGGGCAAGCTGTTGTTTGAGTAACAAACACAACCAAATCCACGTGTATATTTCAGTATTTGAACACACCTCTGTGAGAACTTTGTCCTTGTAAACGGGTTTTATTATTATTTGACCTGCTGGCAGGCATTCTTAGAGAAACAAGGAGTGGGTACAACCAGCTGCTTCTTCAAACCAGTGAAATCACTAACTCAAGGCTCTATCTAGAAACTTTGGAAAAGAAAACCTGTTCCTGTGCTGCTAAGAAGTAATTCGTTCCTCATTAAACAATTCGTTTCTAAAGAGAAACTTGTGCTGCTTTTTATTCATACTTGTACTGTCAGAGTTAATGTCTAAAAGATAAGGTAGCATGCCTGATGTTTGTCGTTGTTTGACCCTGGCTGGAAGACAGGTGCCCAACCCAACATGCTCCATCCCCTTCCTCAGCTGGACAGGGAAGAGAAAAATACAATTAAAAGCTCATGGGTTGTGATAAGGACAGGGAAAGATCACTCAGCAAATAAATAATGGGCAAAACAAGTTCTATAATTTCATAGGTAGTAAGAACAACTATTTTTCAAGTTCTTTTAGAGTAAACATAAGACAGACTTTAAAAATATTGTGCAAGTAGGCATCAGGTATTTACTAAACACAGAACAGTTAGTGTAACTTCAATCATGCACAAATTATTTAGTTCTGCAATTCTGCCTTCAAATTTGCTTTCAAATCACTGGGCAAAAGTATATCCCACTGAAGGTGTGTATGCATGGCTTGCATTTGTGTCAGAGACTGACAGAAATGTTGAGGGAGCAAGGAACTGTGTGGCCACACTCTCCTATAAAGCATAAATGCCAATTCCCTGTCAGTTCATCCTCATTACATACAAGTTCTTCATTTCTAAGTAACAGCCTCTTCCTAATTTGCTCATTTATTTTAGGGTAAAGAACTTTTATTTCTGGTGTAAATAGATTTTTTTTAATTACAAAATTAACTACTGAATCTAAATGATCTGTAACTTTACAGTCCACTGTTACCAGAAATGATAATGCACTTTGGTATAAAACAGCAAGAGTTACTACAGCAAATGTCTTATCTCTTCCTTCTCTTCAGAAAAGACAATTGCCTTGAAGACCACATCAGATATTTTTCAATACCTAATGAGGAACAGAGCTCAACCTGAGAAAAAACCTACATGAACTGTAGACATCCTGCATAAACCAAGTGTATGGACAGTGGTTAATAAAGCCCCTTAACAAAACACATCTATTAGCAGCTTATGTTTCTGCTTATTTGATCTTTTCTTTATGGAGCTCTGTAGCAGAAGCATCTACTGAATATTGTCTTCTGCTATTGCCTGCTCTAAAATGCTAGATTTAAGGCTGCATATAATCTAAATCTGTATTTTCTGCAGATAATTTCGCAGAATCATAGAATTGTTTAGGTTGGAAGAGACCTTTAAGATTCTTGAATCCAACTGTTCACCCAGCACCATGTCCCTCAGTGCCACATCCACAAATCCTCTAAATACCTCCAGGGATGGTGACTCAACCACTTCCCTAGGCAGCCTCTTCCAATGCTTGACAAACCTTCCCATGAAGACATCCAACCTCCCCTGGCACAACTTGAGGCCATTTCCTTTTGTCCTATTGCTTGTTATTTGGGAGAAGAGATAGACCTTTACCTCGCTACAACCTCCTTTCAGATATTTGTAGAGAGCGATTTAGTTGCACTTGATCAATCATTGTTTTTGTGTTGTTTAAAGTGTGCAAAATATTCTTGGGAGAAGAATGGCTTGAATAGAAATGTGTACCTATGCTAAAAAAAGAGGACATACCAATTTCTAATTACCTTGTCATATCTTCTTCCAGCTTCTCAAGCATGTCTGAAGTGAAATTCATTTGAGAAGAATTCGATCCTTAGAAAGAAGAGTAAATACTTTTAATAGAGCAAGCTTTAGCAAATTACTTTTCCTGCATGCTGTTCAGCATATTCAGTGTTGTTACATCTCGTTTTGAATCAAGTTGATTTGAATGAAAGGAGAAAATTTTAACAAAAATTAATGAACTTTACTAATACAGGATTAGTCATAACTCCACTGACTACAAAACCATATCAGGGTAACTTGAGATTAAAAAGTCTTCCTGAGCATACATAGAATCATAGAATGGGTTGGGTTAGAAGGAATCCAACCCCAGGCAGAGCTCCATGCACTCCAGCTGGTCATTGACATAGAGGGTGACACTCCCTTCTCATCTTCCCAAATGTTCTTCCAGAAGAGCCTGTATCCTTTCATTCCAACATTCAAGTCATAGGTAGGTCCCCTCTCCAGGCTCCAGGCATCTCTTGCAGGCACTGGCATCACACTGATAGGAGTGGGATGCACTGAGGTTCCTCTCCCTTGGCAACTTAAGTTTAAAGACTGGGCAAGCCTATGGCCAAAGATGCTCTTCTCCTTCTCTGACAGATGGACCCCACCCAGCCCCCAGGAGATGGGACTTCTCAATGCGAGTCCCATGGTCTGAAGTAGCTGAACCCCTGGGCTGTGGCACCAGTCCAGTAACCATTTTTTGATTGACCAGATTTGATTAGCCCTTTCAAACCCTTTCCCTTTGACTGGGAGGACTGATGAAAAAAACTACCCACACACTAGAGTCCCTTACTGATGCTCTGAGTTCAGAGGATGACATAATCTGACCTATGTGTTGACACCAAAGCGACAGTATCACTCCTTCCTCTCATATCTAGCAGTGCATGCCTGGCCTCCCTTGTGTTTGATTTCACAGTTCTGATTCAGCAAATGAGGCGAGTCAACAAATCGATCCCAGAGAAAATTAGTACTTTTATTCTTGGTAGTGAATCTCTGATTAATCTACCTACTCATCTGATTCACCTCATAAACTATAATTGTCGGATTTGATGCAAGGGAATCAACAAGAGCCCATGTTGAAGAGATAGAAAACCAGCCACTTTCTATTTATTACAAGCAGAGTTAAACATGATTTATTGAATGTGCACTGTAGCAGGTAATTTGAAAAAAAAGTCAAAAATAAAAACTACTAACACAGAAACTAAAAAATACAATAAAAATCCCCCAAAATATAGTGTATGTCTATCACAATGAACATGACTTACTAATTTGCGTGATAGTATAGCACCTGGGTTTCTGACATCAATATGTCCTGTCAAGATGCCTGAAGCTCCCCATCTCTTTTTTAAATACAAGCCATTGTTCTCAGCACAGCAGATATATTCTTACCTGTAGAATTTAAGTCTCCAGAAGCAACAAAGCTGTCAGTCATATCACCAAAAATTATCATTGAAATAGGGAGAGCGCTTCCATGGGCTACTGCCAGAATGGTGCCCAGTATCAATAACAATTTATCTGAGCAAGTGGAGTATCGAAACTGAGAGAGAAGAGAAATGAATTCTAACTGTTGTATTAGAGTGCTAACACAGTGTTATGTCTACAAAGTCAAGAAAGTAAAGACAAAGCTAACAAGTGTACACTTGCTGTCACAAAACTACAACTTTATCTGATTAGAAATTCAGTTTACAAAACAATTTAAATGTACAGGAATAAATCTTTTCAATATAAGCACTTTTATGCTATAAACTCTCAAAACAAGAGAGGTGTACTATATTAATGTATTAATATCTGCACCTGGGTAAGAAAGGCCATAGGTAAATAAACAAGGCATAAGAAATTTGCCCTTTTTAAGTTCACCATATAAAGTTCAAATTATAAGACATTTTAATGGCATTGTGATAATTAAGGCAATAATCTCTTTAAATTCATTATTATGCAGTCAGAAAAACTGTTCCTAATGTACTACAGACATTATAAAAATGTACTGAAGTTCTAAATCCTGCTGCCATTGAACTTAATATTAAGTTTGAGTTCATCTGTTACAAAACCATTGGCTTTATTGTGTACTGTAAAATACTAAGTTTACTGAGGTAAATTATTGTCCTATGATGTAATTGTACAAGTGCAAGCTGATATAGCAAAATAAAGAAATTGGGCATTGTCCGGCATCATGGACTATAGTTTTACATCTGTTATTTGCAATATCATTGCTGTGTATCATGCATACAAAACCCACAAAAAAAGAAAATATTTCACTATTACTAAAAGAGGACCTATGGTTGATTTGGATTAAATATTAAAATATTGTAGTTTTTGAAATATACAGAAAAAATCTGGAATTTTAAGTACTTTTTAGTACTCAATTCTTAATTTTAAGTTTCATCAACACCAGGGAGTTACTCTTTATTGCTGATTCAGATGACTGAATAATGATTGATAGGCCTAATCAGTATGATTAGTACCTGACTCTGGTAATTTAGAGGACAAGACCACACATAATTGTAGACACATGGATGACCTTTTTATTGTGTCAGAAGAAATGACTGAACATGGAAATCCCTATCTTTCACAAACAAAAATCTGGTATGGGTGTGTTTAGCATGATCACTTATAAGGGAAGACTCCTAAGAATCATTAACAGCAGTATTACAGCTTCTTTAATATAACTACCTCCACAAAGAGAACTGCTTGATTTCTATGCTATAGCCAGTATTCTGCAGTCTCACAGTATTTGGTACAGACAGTATCACAGATGCAGTGCACTAACATAATTGCAATCATTTTTGTTTAGCCTTTTGAAATGTGCCTGCATGAATATATAGGTACACATATACAGAGAGAACAAATCTTACCAGAGCAAACGGGCTGACCACCTTAGGTTTTTCCCCTTTCTTCTGCTTCTTGTTTTTCTTGCTAAGAAAAAGTGTGATGATTTTAATGAGTTTAAAAATGGATGACATTTTACAGAAATACTAATGCAACATATTAAAGCAGTTCAATTAAAATACAATTATGAAAAAAAAATTACAGCAAAAAAATTGTGTGTAAAATGAATATGATTTATTGAGCATTCCTGAGAATACCTTAAATCTCCAGGTATCAGCTCCTGACTGCTGTAAATTTAAATCAAGTTCTCCCCAGTTCACCTGTTTCAATGGTTCCACTACCTGGTCAGGGAAGTTGTGAACTGAAGCACTATATAATTTCAAAATAGGAAAGGGGAAGATAACTTACAAAATCAAATTTTTCCACATGGTGGGTGGGGAATACATAAAATGTTCAAGGTATGTAAAGTATTGATTCCCTGCCATATGAAAGATATTAAGATAATCTCTAGCAAATGACATAAATGTATCCAAGATGTCCACTCCAACAGAATTTCTATCATATTTCAGATTTATTTTTCAATAAACTCCAGTCAAAACTGCGGACATTTAGTCCTTACGAGAAAAAGATAAAAGGTCCTTCTGCACCAAATGAACATGTCAATCAATGCTACTCTCAATTTGATACTAAGCTTTCTGTTATTAGGCTTTTCTGAAAAATAAAGTAAAATAAAATAAATAAATGAAATGAAATATAAAATAAGGTAATGTAATCTTATAAGCTTCAATACAGAATGTTTACAATGTTTAAGAATACTTACTGTTTGTCTTCAGATCCATGACCCTGGCTGGCTACATCATGACTATTTCCATCTGCAGTATAGTTGTTCTTTTCATCTTCAGAATTCATTTTAAATTTATTGAGAATAGCTCCCTGTAAAATAATATTTGAATGAGAAATATACAATCTTAAGCAAATGTTTTAAATTTTTTTTAGTAATCTCAAAAACATAAATGTTTTTTGAGTAATCTCAACAACCATTTGTTTGAAAGAAAAATATAGATACTTATTGAAATCAGTAAAGTTATTACTATCATACATTGCAAGTGAATCGTCATAATGAACAAGTATAAGCATGTTGAGAACAGTCCAGAAGTTTGGTATATCTACATTTTGGACTTGTATCCATTTGATAACAGTAGGTCATTCATTTAATTTCATTCGAATGATACAAGCATAATATTTTCTGCAATTCAGCAAAGATATACAAAATAAAGGAGAAAGTAAATGTTTATTTAAAAGAACCAATTTTTATCCAGTTAATTGGATTTTTCCCAATTTTAGACATCAGTGAATTTATAAAATATCTCTCATTTAAAAGAAGTCCCAAACTACTGACATACCAGGAAGATTGTTCTGAGTTTGTGTCCAGTCCTCTGAAAAATTACTCAAACATGAGCAGAATTAAGATGGTTCAGGACACACTGCATGACTGGACTTTGCTCTTGTTACGTAAGACAGAGATAACAAATAGATTTCTCTCATTTTTTTTTCCGCTCCAATTGCCTTGCCTATTTTGGCGAGTAAAGTGTATGCCCTTTGGACTGTACCTCCCTTTTCGTAAAGGGAATAATATTACTCCTTAAACACACACTTATTTCACTGTCACCTGGGAAAACAACCCTGAATACTCTATTCTTCCATCAAAAAAAGTTCCCTGTATCTACTGTTGGCTTAACTACGCCCTTCAAAATTCAGAGGAATTCCTCTTTACCTTATTAGAGGTGTTGCTGAATGCTCCAAGTAACTGTTACACTTAAGGATGAATCCATTCATCCTTATGAAAGGATGAGAAAGAAACCAAATAACACCAAAGGATTGTTTTACTCTTTTGCTTCTTTTCCAATCTTCTAAGTCTAATCCAGGAAAACATGACCCATCTAGCATGAAAGAAAACGGGATTTTACTGTAGTGCATATAATTTCTCATTTGAGTAACTGCAGAACAGCAAGATGAGTGTCAGACTGAGTTTAAAAATGGTTTGGAAATAGCTCTGGTCAGCAGAAATCTTCTCAAGTAGCATCTTTTTGATTTTTGAATGTATGTTCAGATTCTAGACTGTTTGAAACGGACCACTTATTAGTAGTCCACTTGGACCATTATTAATGGACATTGTGGAATGTACTGGCTTTATCAGTATCTGTAGGCATTACTTTGATGAAAATAATAAATATTTAAAACATTTAAAATGAATGAATTTCACTTCTTAACCTTATTTCAGTATATGTATTAAACTAGACATTTTTCAACACTTTTACAGAAGTAAATTTGTGAAAAGTTATATAAAAATACTTGTCCTTGAAGTACTCGAAGACAAGTAGATTTATATTAATTTCTCTGTAGGTGTCCTATCACTTTACTTACACAAAACTTACTTAATCTGATAATTACACAGAAGAAGTGATTTTTGTTCCTTTTTTTCATGTATGCCTGTAAACTCAAAATTTTGGTAAAACAGTATTTTTATAATGTTTTGGAATACAAATAGTCTTATCAGATTGAGGAATGGTTTAGAAAGGGTAGTTTAGCATTGTCAGTCAAGCAAAATATAAAGGATTAGTAAGTGTAAGTATTATCTGTTTATGACACTGTTTTGTATGGAGGTCTATCCACAGCAGTTAATAGGTTTTAACCTGTGTGCCTAAATATTTTCCTCTACTTGATCCTAATGAACTGGTTTCAGGGGAAACTGAATAAAGTCAAATGAGAAACTTTAAAGAAAATCAATTGATTAAAAAAATGAAATATTATATGCAGGACTTTCACAACTATTTCACATTAAAGGGAGAATGGTCAAAACTAAAAGATCTTTCACAGCATTTTGTTATCACATTGGAATGTCTTGATGCTATTGCAGTGCAATCATGATAAGAAAGGGAAATAGAAATATAGCAGAAGAGCAATTTCATTTTTACCAGAGTTTCTATTGCCTGCATACAGTAAAGCAAAGAAAATGAAAGACACGTGGTTTATCACATTATGAGCTGAAGCAATTAAACTGATACTATAAAAGGTGGGAAAATTGGGAACTTAACAGTATTGTACATCTACTTTGTAGGATACAAAATTTTGTGATTTCTCTATAGCTTGTATACTTTGACTGTTCACTCAGCTTCACAATTGCACAGAATTTGAAATCAGAGAAGATCACTAAATCCTTCTTCTAATCTCTTATATCTTGCAGTTGGCTATAAATCATTCAGATACGTCCATGTTAAAATTGATAATTTGGGTTTAACTATATAATTTCAGTCTGAAGAGATTAAATTTGCATCATAAAACAATAACAGAAGAATCTGAGGCATCACCACTGCACATTACCTGAACTTGAGCATAAAAAAACATGTAGGTGAATATAGTAGGTGATCCACAACCAAAGATGTACAGAAACATCCAGAAACAATGTAGGTGGCAGTCAATCTATTCTCAGGAGAAATGCTGTTTCATCCAAAGTCTGGTGACCAGTTTTGCCCTAAATACATTAGCAGGATTCGTAATCCCAATGTTTGAAAAATGTTGTCTTCCCTCAGATCAGTTATTTGGTTAAATCAACAGCTTACTCTCAGCTTTAACCAAGCCTTGATGTCATCAAGGGAGATTTTTTAGTTCTGTGACTGAAGAGCTGAGGTACGAAATCTCTATTTATAGACATTGTCTGTATCGACATGAACTTGATGCTAAGTAAATATGTCTTGAAAGCAGAGTGTCCTGATCATTCAAAAGTCCAGAAGAAAGAAAACCTTTCTTTTTTCTCCTTCTACTTACTAGTCACATTTCACACAGAAGGTAGATTTAAACAGAGATGACCAACCTATGACCTCTGAGCTATTTAAGGCTCATAAACAAGTCAAAATTCCTTCCCAAAGCAGTTTGTTATTCAATGACTAGAAGAAGCAGAGATCTGGTGAAATGGGAACTGTTGGACAATTCAAATCCCTTGGACAAGCAAGTAAAAAATGGCTGATAATGTTTAGGCACCTGGATTGTCCAAAACTCCAATACACGTCCATCTCAGCCCTATCCAACAGTGGACCAGTGGGATTCTATGAAGGAGATGACAACTGCAGCTCAAAGAGCCACCTCTATTGAGTTATGTGCTAAATGTCTTAGGGGATTTTATGCAGTTGAAAGTTCTGCCAAGTGACTCATTGGGTCAGGAATGTTGACCTTGTCTAAAGTAAAGGCTATACTTGAGGAAAATATCTAGTTGTACTTTAAAAATTACAATAGGTCACAAGTTTTTTGCACCTATTGGCTAACTGTTTCTTGCTGCATTTCCCTTCATGGATATTGTTATTTGAAGACAGAACAATACCTCTTGGATATTATTATTTCTATGAGGACCTGCATTGTCAGATGTATTTTCTATTTCAAAATACTTATACTTATTCAGAAGGTTTACTCAACCCTCTCTTTATTAAGATAGTAGCCAATTTCCCTTTGGCTGACATAGTTTTACTGTTCTTGCATTATATCTACTCAAATTCTTTAGAATTTTGAGCATAAGAACTTCTTGTATGTTTGAAGGATGACCAGTGATCCTTTGAAATAGTCTGTCAACACTGTAATGCTAAACTGTGGTACAATTAATTCCCTTCTGCTACTTGATATAAATGCATGGTTTGAATAATTTCTCTTGGGCACTCTAGTACAATGAGAGATTGTACAGGAACAATAAACTATAACAAACCTTAAATCCTTCTCTAAGTCATTGCTCTTACAGACCACTCACCAGTCTTTTCAGTATAGCTCCGTTATTCACAATAGTGTTTAAATTGTATTTTGCATGATTATAACCTAATTTTTGGATTGCAGTTAAGTTAGGTAACACAGATCATCCTGTACTGTAACTCACTATTAATTATTCCATACTGTTTCCAAGTATTTAATTATCTAAATTTACTTATCCAACCTCTCCCATATCTCAAAATGTCTCAACATTTGATGGACAAACTTCTGGAGTAGCAGAAAAGGCATTTCAAAAATAGGGCTGTCAGGTTTTGTGGTGAAGTTTCAACTGCTTATGCTTCCAGAAAATAACTCGTGTTGAGAGATCTCATCCCACAAATCACACATTGGTTCCATGTATTTTTTTTATCTGATGCAGGCCCACAAGGGGATGGCTAATTGGGACATGATATCAGAATAAACAACCAACACAGAAACTTTAATCTAACTTTGATAGCAGAGACAAAACATAGTGAAATGATGTCATGATGCCTTCCAAATTTTTAAACAAAATCAAGGAAATCTAACTTTTTTTATACTCACAATAAAAATAGCCAACAAGAATAGAAACTGAAGCAAATACTTCAAAGTCTGAATATAATGTAACCAGAGAAAAATCCCACAAGCTACTTTTTTCTTTTATTTACTTTAAAGATGGAGAGTTGGATTTTCCAATAAGCTCCAGGTAGACAAAATTGTGGAGTGGGCCCCAGGAATTCTGCAATGATTCCTCAAATGACATTCAGTCCTAGCATAGATTAGAATAACTGTGAAGAAGCTCTGATTTATAGTACTCAGGGAACTCCTGTTCCATTTTAGCAGCCTCTTTCCTGTTAATCAGTGTTGGAAAAGAAGAGTACGTTGTACAGGAATTTTGCCAACTTGGCTACCATTCTGTCAACAAGACTTGTCATTTGTGACAAAAATAATCATAGTGTCAGAAAATGAGAATTGTGTGTTCCTTGAACTATGCTGTATGCTCAGCCACGAGAGAATGCCTATTGGAATCGGTGGACATTTTACTTGTCTCAGACTAAGTATGAGGACAAATCAAGTTGTTGTAAGCATCAAGCTTCTATTTGTGTTTAAAAAGAAAGTTTACTCTGAAAAGCAAGTTTTAAAATTACAAAACTCCACTTCCGTTGTCTGGTAATTTGATTTGAAGTTAATTATTTATTCTCTTAAGGAGGACTGCCATAAACTAATGTCACTAGCTTCCTATTACTAATGTGTCAGTTTTCAGCTTCACAAACTCAGTCTCGTTTCTGAAAGCTTCAAAGTTTTTTTGGCTTATACTTAAACAACAGAAAATCCGGACAGATCTACACCTCCTTTTGAGCAATATTTTCTGTATATGGGAAACAACTTGCTTGGTGTTTATTTATCACCAGAGTTATTCAATATGACTCAATCATGCATTAATGTGTGAGGATATAATATTTTTCATAATCATTACTTGCAGTATGGCAAGTCTTCGCAAATGAAGATTTTGGGAAAGGTCTTTTACCTTTCCAGCCTGCGCAATGGATTTTTTTAGGTGAGACACAGCATGCGCTGAACTGAGCCCACTCTTTAATCCTAAGGTTCATCTGCTGGGGCCAAGTGAGCTTGGACAATGGCAGTGAGGTCCTCAGGACGTAGGTTTGTTTAGAGTGACCTTCTCATAGATGGATGGCCTTACAGGGCAGACGAGTTCCATCTGCTCGGGGGAGTGTCCCTGACCGGGAATCGAACCTGGGCCGCGGCAGTGAGAGCGCCGCATCCTAACCACTAGACCACCAGGGGTCCCCACTTGCAGTATAGTTGCATTTAAAATTATATTCTTACTACAGGTATAACAGAAAAATGCATTTAAAGAAATATAGTATGGAACATTTGGAATTTAAAAATGTTCAGGACTTTATATCACAGATGAAAAATTGCAGGAAAAATATAAAATTACTTTTTGTGCAGGTGGAAAACATTTTTTTCAATTGAAGCTGAATAAAACATATATTATTACAGACACACCCAATTTTTTTCCTGTTAACTTTTCTAGGCAATGATATGCCTTGTAATATTGTAACAATACAAGGAATCCTTCCCCCACTGAGTCTCTTTGATTGGACAGACACCTTTGCTGTGCACAAAAGAGCCCTTTGTAAGCTGAATATACACAACTTAAAAGTATTCAGCAGTTACTGATTAGTTACCATACACAACCATTGTTGATAACTTGAATTAATAAAATATTAAACTGACTGTTGGTATGCTCAGTGCTCTGAATAAGAAACAGAAAAAGTCTTTGCTGGCCAAGAAGTCCCCAGTGAGGTGGGGTAGAGCTGGTTTCTACTGCCTCTGGAATGGATTCTCATTGCAACTTAATTGCTGTCTTCCAAATTGCTGCTTTTCCCTTTTCATGATGATGTTTTCCTCTTGAATCCTTAAACAGTTGCTTAACTCCATCTCAAGACTATTACCTCTGTCTGCCATTTTACCTTTCTTACCTCGCAGAAGTCCCCTTTATCAATTT